ACATGTCACTTGGTATTGAGAAATGTGCTGCTCTTCGTGTGATTAAAGGGAAGCTAAGTAACTCCGAGAACATATTTAATGAAGCATTGCATATTAAACACCTATAAAAGGAAGAGCTATATAAATATCTTGGGATATAGTATTGTTAAAATAGCCAGCAAAGAGGCAAATAACAGACTGATAGAGTCGTTGAAAAAGAGATTGAAAATTATTCTTACAACATACCTATCCTCAGGTTCAAAAATAAAAGCTGTAAATACGTGGGTTATACTAGCCATATCTTACAGTTTCGAAATTTTAAAATGGTCTACAATTTCACTCCAGAAATTGGATAGATTTATACGGAAGAGTATGACTAAGTACAGAATGTATCACCCGACAGCATCTATGGCAAGGCTTTGTTTGCCCAGAAAGGAAGGTAGGAGAGGTCTCAGAAACATTGAGGAGGTGTACCGAAAACAAGAAATGATCCTCATGGAGTACTTCAAACAAAGTGAAGTATCTTTTCATAAGATAATGTGCAATCTCGACCTTGGACACACAGCAATACAATTTGCTAGTCCAGAAGCTGCTATATCCATCATTTTCACGGACAATGGCTGACTGGAAGAATGGAAGTCAAAAACACTGCACGGAAGATTTTTTCAACAGCTCCAACAAATTGAAATAGATAAAACATTGTCTACTAGATGGTTGGTTAAAGGAAATCGGTTTGCCAAGACAGAGGGCTTTATGATAGCAATCCAAGATCAGGTCATAGCAACGAGGTCTTACTTGCGACATGTCTTGAAGCAATAGACAGTATCAGACAAGTGTAGACTCTGTGCCAGTACGTTCGAGTCTATTCAGTGCATAACTGAAGGGTGCGGAGCGCTAGCTGGTACAGAATACCTCAAGAGACATGGCGGTGTTGCAAAAAATTATCATCAGGCAATTGGTCTAAAACGAAAGTTAGTGAAAGATTTGATACCTTATTATAAGTAAAACCCTAAAGAACTTATCCAGAAGGAAGGAATGAAATTGTACTGGAATCAATCTTTTATAACAGACCATATAGGGATCCATAACAGACCTGATATCATTTTGGTCGATAGTAATATGAAGACAGCTGAGATAATAGATATCGCTGTGATGATGGGAACACCATCTCAGAGAGCACCCAAAAAATTCGGAAATATCTAAATCTTGCAGCCGAGTTCAAAGATTTGAACAGACTGAACAAAGTGACAGTAAGGGCTTTAGTGATCTATAATAATGGGCTGATTCCAAAATCCACTGTAGAAGCTACTGAGAAGTACACCCAAAATAAATGAAGCCCAGAAAGCTGTGCTGCTGAACACTGCAAGAATCTTAAGGAGCTTCCTAAATATCCAACAGAACTACAAAAATTGACATGAAGTGCTTGTAGTTAATTTTTCCCCACTCCAGAAAAATACGTTAAAAAATAAAGAATAATAATAATAAGGCTTAGCGAACCCGAAGGTTCGATGCCGATACCACCAATCGATGTCCATATTCTTCCATCCACCGAACTCCGTCTAAGCCCAACCCTGCCAAATCAGCATTAACGCAGTCTTCCCACCTTCGCTTTGTTCTACCCCTCGGACGATTGTCAGTCAGTACAGCGCATATTAACTTTTTAGGAATTCTTTTGTTATTAAGCCCTGCAATTTTACATGCCCATTTTATTCGCCTCAACTTAATCATCTCAATCATATTAACTGGATACAGTTCACGCAATTCAGCGTTGTGTAGCCGCCTGAATTCTTTGGTTGACTTGTCCTTTTTCGGTCCGAATATTCTGCTCAAAACTTTATTTTCAAAAACCTTAAGAAGTTGCTCATCCCTTAATGTAAGCGACCACATTTCGCATCCATAAAGAACCATAGGAAGGATAATGGTTTTGTAAATTCTAATTTTTAAGTTTCAGGACTGGAAGCGAGAACTAAGTAGTTTAGAAAAAAACAAAAAAAAACAAGCATTTCCCGCCTTCAACCTAACCTTAATATCCTCTTCAATTTTGTTTTTTCTATTTATCATAGACCCTAGAAACCTAAAATTCTGTACTTGTTCTAACACATTCCCTTCTATATCGATATCATCGAAATTGTCGCTGTTTTTTCAGCTAACCATATATTTTGTCTTATCCGCATTTATTTCGACTCCTAGTTATGTAACAGCTTTCATCAACGTTGTTATATTTAGTTTTATCGTTTCCATATCTTCGCTTAACGGTACCAAACCATCAGCATACCCAAGCACGGATATTGTTACACTTCAAATCTTTTTTGGTATGTATCACCTCTCTAATGGCATGTTCTAATGCCAAATTAAATAGGACAAGTGAAAGAGAATCACCTTGTTTTAAGCCAGTTGAACCTCAGATTTTTTGGATAAATAGTAACCAATTCTAACTTGATTGAGTGTTTCTGTCAAGCACACCCTGGCTAGATTCACTAATTTTTTGGGGATCTCGTGCTTGATTAGAATATTATACAGCTTCTGGTGGTCAATAGAATCGTTAGCCTTTTTGAAATCGACATAAAGCTGATGAACAATGCCGTTGTACTCTAATATTTGTCGTAAAGAAAATATTTGATCAATAGTCCAACGGTTCCGCTTAAATCCACATTAGCAGTCTCCAATAATTTCCTCGGCATATTCTGTGATTCGATTAGTTAAGATTAATATGAGTATTTTATAACATACCAGAAGGAGTGAAATTTTGATAGTTATTACAATCCGTCCTCAGACGCCTTTTGTGAATCAGAATAAGAATGGATTCTTTCCATTCTTCAGACAATTTCTCATTGTTTCATATCTTTTAAACCAAAAAATGTATTTTATAAACTCCAGATTCCACGCATGTCTTAATTAGTTCACTAGGAATATCAGCGGTTCCCGCTGCTTTATAAAATTTTAATTTTCTGATAGCTATTTCAACTCCCTCTTTACTTGGTTCTTCAGAAGGAGGACACAGATCTTTATTTCTCATATTTAAAATATTGTCAAAGTGTTTCTTAAACTTACTCAATATGTCTACAGGGTCATTGAGGATATTATTTTCATCCCTAATTCCAGTTGTTACGGGTCCTAAATAATTACATGATTTATTAATACCTTTGTACATGTCTCTTACGTTATTTTCGATTCTATTATTTTTATATCTATTATTTTATTTTTAAGATGCTTTTATTTTAGCGGCTCTTTTTTTTTCGCATATGTTAAAGCAATCTTCATCAAACCACGGGTTGTTATTTTTATTTTCCTTTTTTCCAAGACACAAGTTACCGATTTCTTTAAAATTATCCCTGATCCCTACCCATAACTTGTCTATATCATCACAAGTTACCTCTTCAGAAGGTTCTAAAGCTTCAAACCTATTCTTAACTTCAAGCTCGAATTGAATTCTAATTGATGGATTTTTTAATTTTTCCAAATTAAAATTCTCAGAATTGAAATGGTTTCATTACTCTTTTTTATATTCAGTTTTTGTCGAAGTTTCGTGATTATGAATTCATGATCTGACCCATATGCTGCCCTGCGATAAGAACTTGCACTAATTATACTGTTTTGCCACCTATGTTGTTTCAAGACAAGATCTATTTAATTTCATGTTTGGGAATCCGGTGATGTCCAAGTATATTTGTAAATATCCTTATGTTTAAACGTAGTACTTTTAATTATTAGGTTTTTCAAGATAGCAAAATTTATTAGCCCAATTCCATTATCATTACTACAATCATGTAAACTTTCTTTACTGATCGTCGGAAAATAACCTTCTTTCCTTCCCACCTTTTCGTTAGCGTCCCCTAAAATTATTTTCATGCAGCTTCGCAGTAGGTTATCATAAACCCACTGCAGTTTATCATAAAATTCGCATTTGGCTTCGTCGTCACTGTCTTCGGTCAGATAGTGTATATTTATCAAAGCAATTTTAAACCAACGTCCCTGGAATATGGCCACTGAAATCCTATTGCTAAAGAATTGTATGTACCTCAAAGCGGATAGAAATTTATTTCTAATTAGAAAACTGGTACCTAAACAATGATTTCAGCTTCCTCCGTACCAAAAAATGTACTCACCTTCCCTTATAGATCTCTTCCCTGGCCAACAAACCTCATTAAATGCGACGATATCAAAATTGTACCCATTAACCTCATTTGCGATAGATTTTAACCCACCTGCTGTATTCGAACTCCTTACTTTCCATGTCGCTATACTTAAATCTCTAGTTTTCAACTAGCACCATGAATCCCCTAAAGCAGTCTCCTGCTTCCAGATAATGAGAGTTTTACTTTTTGAGGATCCATGACTGTTTGGTATTTTGTGAACTAGAGATATGGAATGACCCTCCAGCAAGTCTGGAGGTCCCCTCCCTTAAGCAAGTCTGGAGAGCCCCTTCCTCCATCAAGCCTAGAGGGCCACTCTCATTGTTGGCCAGCGAGTCCATCGGACTTAGCCGGGAGGAACTTCTGAAGAATTTCCACCGACTATCCCCACATCCGTCACCCGTGGGATGCTCCATGAGCTCGCGCGAAGTTGTATTTACTATTTACAAAGTTTCATTAAGATCTGAGGAGGTGGGTGTTGACAACTGGATGATTTGGCATGGAAGACATCGCTTTTATGAATTAAGTTATTCTCATTATTCCTTATTGGCTTATTTTTCTTTATTAATTTGTTTTATTTTTGGTTTACTTGTCTTTAATATATTTTTTTTATGTATTTATGGATTGAAAGTATTTATTATTTCAACGTTAGAAATGAGTATTAGTTAATGTTATGTTGACATGCATAAAGTGTTCCAAATAATAAATAAGCTTTGTAAATTGATTGATAACATTTTGCATAGAAGTAATGCGTTAAAGTAATGCTTTAAGTTTAATACAATATTTTAAGTTTATGGAGCTACTATAATTTTGTCTTTTCCAAGTGTTGACGTTCTCATTTAGATATTTGAACCAAATGATCCCATTCATTTTTAAATGATTTTATAGGATGTAATAGTTTCCTAAACCCTGGATATGAGGATATGAAAAAGTTTGGAGCCCATTATTATAGTAATCTTTCACAGGATTGTGAGTAAACCATTTTCATTTATTTGTTTTTTTATTATTGTGTGCTCTTTGTCTGCTTACTTTTTCAATGTAGCATTCATTAGTCTATTGGATTTTCCCTACCATAATGAATCATTTAAATTATATTTCTTACAATGTTTTTAAGCTTGTTAATTGTTATGTTTTATCATATTTTATGTGTTCTTTTGCTTTGGTATGATGAAGACAACAAAAAAAAAAAAAAAAAGAAAAAAAATCTGTAAAACATTCTATAATTAGAAAACTTAATTTTATTTATTGTCTGTTTGTTTTATGTTATATATAGCCTGATTTTCTGAAACTATGATTATCCAGCATGTATTATGATATGAAAATATTTCTTATTGATTTATTGTTATTTTGTCTTTATTTGATTACAACAAAGTTCTGTTTATCAACAACATGATCTTAATTATAAATCTTAATTTTTTCATTGTTTCCTTGCTATTTGTACGATTTATGGAAATGAGTGGCAAAATCTAGTTAGCCATCTGTTGGTAATATTATAGGTTGGTAATATAGCCTATATAATAGGCTTTTTTTCCAGACTCTCTATCGATGCCAATCATACTTCCTTTGAATCATTTTAAAATACCAGTTTCTAAGAACTTTATCATTGCTTTATTAAACAATGTTGAAAATTAAATATTTATGTTGGCTTATAGTGTATTAAAACTTACATAATGTAAAATTATATTTATGGAATGTTTCACTTTCATGATAATTGTTTCAAAAAAATAAAATTTTCTTTCTTTATTTATTTTTTCAGCCTTATGACCTACCAAGACAAGTATTCTTTTTGCTCTTACTAATTCTTCTATCACCAATCATTAAGAAAACAAAACATCCACTATTAGGTCTTGAATCTTTGCAGGAGTATCAAGATTTTGTTACATGAGCATTTCGTAATTTTTATTTATCACTCTTGACTTTTCTTTATTTAAAAAATGAAGGAGGTACGTGGGGGCTTTTAGGACTTTTTCTCCAACATGTGTAATACTATTTTAAATATTGGTGTTTTATTTATTTATTCTAAAAATACAATGTAAGCATACAAAGTACTAATAGCCAATAACTTTTTTTAATTGTTGATATTAGTTTTGAAGATTCAATTAATATTTATAGCATTCAAAATGAGTTGCTTTTTTGTTTTGTTTTTTACTTGTATATATTTCAATGCCAGCCTTATGGCGGGTTAATCGGGGCAATTTCTCTGTGACACCGGCATAGAAGCGCACACGTTAGGGGCTTCGATCTTCAGAAGCACTCATCACTTGTTAGATATTAAAAAAAAATACAAAACATTTTAAAATAATTAATTTCATCCTGTCATTCCTGATTTTGAAGATAATCAACATTAAAAAATGTTACTATTTTTTTTATAAAAAGTGGTATTAAGAATATTAATACATTATCTATTTCTAATTTCATTTAGTTTAGGTTAAAAATATTACTTTAACTTATTTTATTTTTAATAACACACAAAATGTGAATGAAGTGTATTATGGATTTCAATTGTGGAAGTCCATTAATTTTTACTTTTAATTTCCTCTTTGATGATGTTATGAAGCTATTTTAATGTGGCTTTAGGATCTAAAGTTCAAGGTAGAGACCTCTTCTTATCATATTATTAACATACCTCTAAAACTTTGTAAATGCCATCATCTTATCATGACTTAAAACTATTTCATTTACGAAAATACTTGGAAATAGGTCATTTTCAATCTATAAATTGGTAAACTTTGTTTATTTACCTTTGTCTATTAAAAACTCATAAACATCAATTTGCATAAGATAATTTGATGGTTAAATGGAGAAAAATGTGGCATATAAAAGTATAGGGCCATTTGGCCTATATAATTTTGTTATTTTGAAATGTTGGGATGGAGGTGATGCCAAAGCCTCAATATTTTCGTAGGCCATCTTTTTTCTCTATTTTACGATCAAAATATCTTATGTTCAAGTGGAAAACAAATGGATGTTCATGAGTTTTTAGTACAACATTAAATTGAATAATTGAATGGAGATAGCACTCCATTTTTGAGAATTTTCATCGATAAAACAGTTGTAGGTTGAAATGAATTAAGAAATAAGATATAAGATAAGAAAAATAAGATGAAGCTATTTACAAAGTTTTAGACGTATCTTAATAATTTGATAAAAAGGGGTGTGTACAGCGGACTACTATATGAACTTTTCAGTTTCAACAGCCTTATTTGGGTCAAGAACAGATAAACTATACTCTCTCAGTTTCCTCCTTCTTAAGTGTTTATGAACTTTTGCATTAAATATCAATCGTCTATGTGTGTTTCTTTTGTTCTCAAAATGTATTTTTGTACCAAGTTTTCTCGTTCATTGCTTGACTGTCTTGAAAAATGTGTAAAAATTCTTCCTTTTTAAAAAAAAAATTATTCATTTTAGTATGCACCTCTACACCTAATTGCCTCAGTGTTTGCATTTACAATATTCTCCTACAGTGTTGTTTCAAATTATGCATTTACATGCTTTCAAATATCTCATATTTACTTATATCTGTATTTAATCTATAATTAGACATATAAGCACACACACACACACACACAGAAATCTTTTTGAAATGATTATTTTTCTATATTACTAGGCCTTTATATAACCTAATGATGTGATTTTCACTTATAAAACTACCTTATTGGACCACAACTTTGTTGAGTGACCATTGATTATTCTTATTGTTGGACTTGGCTTTGAATCTTTTATAAAGTTCTTTCTTCTTTTTCTTTTAAGCACTCCAAGATGGCAGCAGTTTTTCTAACATTTTAAAATTCATGAATCCAAGGCATCATATTCTTTGGGATTATTTTGATTCAAGAGAATCAATTTATAAACCCCTTTCCATTCCTTTGTAAGGTAGGGATCAACAAAACTTATATGCTTGGTTTCTTCTAATATGAATGAAACAAAGAGCACTGTGCCAAATAGAAAAACCCATTTGTAGAAAAAAAAAACTGGGTGATAGCGTCCACCTCTTACTATCTTCTTCATTTTTTCTAGCCATGGTTGTAATAGCCTTAATGTCTATCTCACCTGTTTTAAGTATATAGTGTATGTATAGCACATTGTATATTATGTTACACTATAGAAGACCAAGAAGAGATTAATGTAGAATACAGCCAGTAATAGATGGTCTGTTATAGTGCCATGATATTCCTTGGAATCTCAAATAGTCCAGTCAAATTAGCCCAAAAAAAGGAGCATAACTTGCAAAAGGTCGGGTTACTCAAAAATTTTTATATATTGTTAGAGGTATGGTGAATATAAAAAATCCAAGTTTTTGGTATTGAAAGATTTCTGAGTTTGCTGCAGTGCTCCAAAAACCATTGAAATTTCGGATTTTTTTGTTTATACTAAATATCTCCGTATTAAAGAGATTATATTCTATCTCAAACAACTCAAAATTTGCTAACATTTTTTTTAAACCCAGCAATAATCGAACTATCGTTCATTTAAAGTGGGTAGTAAAGTTTTGAAAACTTGTTTAAAACCTCCATAATTTCTTGATTTTTGTAAATTATCTTTTTTCCTAAGTGACCTAGATCAATTATGTTTATTTATACTCAATATTGAAGTACATAAATTTACTATAGCTTTCATAGAAAATTTCTTTCTCTAACCTTAATGACTTAACTACAAAGTGCTAAAAATAAATTAATGTTTTTAAGTTTGAGAAAAATACCTGCTTGTGTTTTTTCAGTTGTGCAGTAATTATGGTAAAAAATATCTAACTAATTGTAGAAAAATAATATGAAAACAAGGGGTAAAAGTGTGAGATTCATTTAATATTAAACTGGTAAAACATATCAAAACTGATTTGGAGGTAAATCAGGATAAAGAAGATGCTGATATCGAAATTGTGACAACATAAATTTGTAAGACCTCTTTTTTTTACCGCCTCGAATCATAGGAGAGAATGTAAATCCCCTATTTTTCCTCAAACATTTGCTTTTCTAAGTGAAAAGCATTTATTTTCGGAAAACTGTGATATCTAAACAAGTACTCCAATACTTCATAATACATACATACAGATTCATGATACACTTACATATGTAAATATATTTACATACATACTATATTTTACAGGATGCAGTTAATTTCCTCAAAGCCTTCTGTAGTTGTGAATCATCTCCCAATGTGAATAAGGGAAGACTAAATCTATGTAACACTTGATGTGTCGGTGATAAGATGCAAGAAATAATCTCAGTTTTCTTCACAATCTGATACTTTCACTGAGAAGATAGTAGAGTGAATTCTTATTACTTTTTAGAATCTAGGCATGAAGATACAAATGCTAGATGAGTTATGTTCATTGTCAAAGTAGCAATGAAGAAGAAATCAAGTTTAGCACAACTTCAACCAACAAGAAGTGAAGCCAGATATCATTCCCTTTGGACCTTCCATCAAGTTTTTAAAAAAATTCTGTAAAATAGGAGTGAATGTATAGGGACCTTACACTGATTAATACAATAAGTAATGTGAAACCACACTCTTTGCTCAAATTGATATCATGCACCTGTAAAAAAAAGGATGTAGTAGTGCTTGTAACTGCAAAAAAAAACAAAAAAACATGATAAATATCTCCAATCTGTAAGCTCTGCAAGAGACCGTCAAATGCCATGTTCTGCAAGTCTTTGACAGTGATAATGAGGAAAACGATGCTCTGGTTATTATTGAGCGAATTGGGTATTTAAACTGAACTCCACTAGTCAGTTTCAAATGTGTACATATATATAATTGGAGTGTATATAAGGCTAAAATTGGAAAAGTTCCAATCGCACAGCTTTATGTCTCCAAAATGCAGGCCAAAAAAAACAAAAAAACTATTAACGTTTTGCCAAATCAGGTATAATCAAGACACAAGAGAAAATTATATCACTCCATGACACCCAATTGCATACTCTGGTCGAGTAACAACTCTTAAAAACCCTAGTAGCCATCTCTACATTAAAAAACTTCGGAAATGGAGTGGTTCAATTTGGAGTTAACAGATTTCCTTTCTTCAAAACCTAATCAGGACTATTGTCAATGAATTTTACATCTAGCTTTAGTTTGAGATGGTAACAATCCAAAGAACACAAATATATACAATTTGAATTATGAAGAATTTTAAATTAGAAAGAAAAACAGTCCTTAATCATTTAATTAAAATTAATAGAAAACCAAAAAGAAAAAAAGTTTTCTTCTCAAACTTAAAAATTTTAATTTATTTTTAGCACTTTATATTTAAGTCGTTAAATTTATAAAAATAAGCATTCTATATAAGCTATAGCAAATTTTATGTACCTTAATATTGAATATAAACATAATTGAGCTATGTCATTTAGGAAAATAGTTAATTAGCTAAAATCAAGAAAGTATGGAGGTTTCTTGCAAATTTTCAAAATCTTACTCATTTTGAAAGATCAATAATTTAGTTCCTATTGGGTTGAGAAAAAAAATGTTCCTTAAAAAAAGGTTAGCAAATGTTGAGCTGTTTAGGATTGAACACAATAAGTTTTTAGCCATATCACTTTGAAAAGGAGATATTTAGTGTAATAAAAAAAACATGACTTTTTTTCCTTATTTGTGTACCACTGATGGAATGATAGCATACCAAAGATTGGGAACCTCTGGTTATTCACAATTAATTTGGAGTTTCTCAAGAGATATTGTTTGACCTGTAATACTTTTTTACATTATGTCTCCTTGAAGGAAACCTGAAGTCAATTTCTGACTACTTCTAAGAATTTTCTGGCCCTTTTCTGGAGTTGTTGATTAGCAAATGGATCATTCTGATACCTCTTACAAATATTTACAGATTTACAAATGTGTTTGTTTATATCTATTAGTTTCATAAAATGATTTAATGAGGATAGAGATGCATATTTTGTTTTTGCAGGCCCGGTATCAGAAGTGATAGTGGATTCTGATTAAATACCATTACTCTTTGATATTTTGAAGATTTTTCGAACTGAATAGACTGAAGACAATTTTATCAAATGTAAATATTTAGTTCTTATATATTTAAAATTGCAATATTTTTAATTGAAAGAATTGATAAAATAAAATTTTATATTTTGAGCTTATGTATAAAATACATTGGAACATGTTTATATCTATAGTTACACTGTTAATTATATTTGTTTTATTTTTTCATGATCAGATGTTTTGTTGTTTATAAAACGTTTTTTTACCACTGTTTTCATGAACAGTGGTAAGCCGGCACTTGGGAAATGTTAAAGGGGGCCAAGATTAGAAGACCATACCTAAAGTGTAAGCCCAGTTATCAGTTGATTGCCTGTAATATAATATAATTATTACTTGTACGGCTTATTGAATTGTTTTGTGAGTTATTATTAAGTAAATGACAGTGAAACATTGGGAGGACAGAGAAAGTGTGGTCCCCTTAATAAAATCTTGGGGGGGAGGGAGTGGTTGAGCATTAATTGTCTTATATCCCTGGTGCTGGTGTCTATGGCAGTTTTATCTTTTAAGAAATAGAATTTATGGGTATTCATTCTAAAATATTTAATATTCTAAATATAATGTCAATTCAATTAGTTAATACTGAAGAGAACTATTATTGTGAAAATCATGTTCTCTTATAGATTATATTTAATGTAAATGATGTACTTTAATTTTGTTTGTATTTATATAATTTTCTTATTATAAATAATTGTATATATCAAACTTTGGTTTTAAGACACCATGTTTTAACTGGTGGACTATTTATTGTCATTTTAGTACAAACTTAAGACTAATTGAGTTTACTGAAACGTGATTTATGTTTACTACTTACTTTTTGGTTGCTCCTAAAATGATGTTTCTCAATTATTGACTGGTCTACTCTCATGCAAGAAAGTCAATAACATAATTTATTCTTTGTAAAGCTTGTTTCTACTTATGAACATAGTTTTTATTCTTATGGCAGGATTTTACTTATAACAATTAGTAGCTGTTATATATTTAAAGTAAGATTCCATGTTAATTAATTTACTATTCCATGTTCATTATTTATATTGTGTATTTATGAATGTGTAGACATGTTTCATGAAGATGATGTTTATATCATGAAGATGTACATAAAGCTGGCTGGTCCATTTGTTTATATATGTATAAATGAAATGTACTTAATTTTTTTTTATTGTGATAATGATTTATAAGTCTGAAAATTGTAAATAGTTTTTTCCTTCAATATGAATAAATTGATAATTTTTTTTAGCTAAGCTAATAAATTAATTTAAGAAATTGAAATATCTCATGATTATTCACATGAAAAGATTTTATTCTTGTATTTATTTAATTTATTGAATATATTTTTCATGTTTATTCTTCCAATTTACCTTTGTCTTTCCTGGGAGCTTGCATATGTATCATTATAAAACATTCTTTGATTGACCCCTAATAGTTTTATGGTCACTGTTTTTCATTAGTTAGTTGGTAACCTAAAATCATATTTTTCATTTTAAATAATACCATAAAAATTACTCTATTAATGTTCTTCCTTCCACTGTATGATGTAATGAAATATATTTCCTTTTTGTAGCCTTTTTTAAGTTCATCACATCCCTTGATCAGCCAAGGTATTATTCAGGGTACACTTTATAATACATCACTCATTTTTTAAATTTATATCTGAATTTCATAGACTCAATGGTATTAATTGGGCCAGTGTACAGTGTAATGAAAGCATCTTTTTTGGAACAAAATTCTGTAAAAGCCAAACAATATATGATAGGTAGGTGTTGAGGATTGATTTTTACAGCTCTTTTTGTGCTGAATCGATTGATAGCTAAAACATGTTCATGGAACCAATCCTTCATGATAATTTAAGGGCTTAACTAAAATTTAAAAAAATATATTCTGAATTTTTCATTTGAGTCAAAATAATTGTTGACTTGTTAAATATTTTTTGTAGATTTATAAATAAGTTCTAAACTTATTCTTTGAAACAATTCATAATCTTCTATAAAAGATTCATGAAAAAATAATAATATTTTTTATAAGTTTTTTTAATTGTTGTAAAACTCGGCATCTTTCTTGGTTGTAACATATGTATATTTTCTTTGCAGGTATATATATATTGTAATATTTCTTATAACAATGACTCCTGGAATATCACTTCAATACTGTAGCAATACTTTCAAAACAAAATAAAAAATAAAATTATAAGAATATTGATATATTAAACTGAAACTTATAATTATTTTAATTCAAGGTATGGGTTACTGGCAATCTGATCAAAATACTTAGACAAACTCAAATTAACTTCACTAAACACTGTTTGATTTTAAAATAAAGTCAAGTATGAATTGGCAAGCTAACCTTTTTTTTCGGAATAGGGATGTGGCGGCCCAATCGTCCGGCCTAGTGCCGCAATCAGCCAATGGTCCTTCAAGTTGGGGGAACAGTGCACTCACATACACACAGTACACTAAAACAGCATACTACACTCATCCTTACTCTCTATAGTCAAAAGTCATTAACAGCACATACCGTAGGGTCACCTCACCTAGGAAGCAGCCCCAGATGGGGGTGTAGGTCTGCAGGCACAAAGGTGGCAGCCCCACCAGCAGACTAGCTAGGGTACGCAGTGAGGGTCGATAGCCCCACTACCCAAAACTGAATTATGTCAATAAATGGCCCTGCAGCTTGGAAATCAGTTCTCTAAGAACAAAAACTCAGAATGATTTCTGATTCCGATCAAATCGGAAACCAAATAATTAGTGTCTTGCTCATAAAAACGTTCCCAACAACAACTATTTTAAGAAAAGAACAACACTTTCTAATCAGAAACGTACAAATTATTATTGTGACCAGTATTATGAATCGCATGGATTCTTCAAGGAGACTATAGTTGCTTGAGGTTTCAATGCACCCAGATCTATTGGAACTGAATAAAAACTGACTCCGGGAGAAAACCCATATTTTCTTGTGCTAGAATAAAAGGTTGTTCGAAAGAATAAATGAAGTTCATATTTTTCAAAATAAATTTTCCTCCATCATGTCTTTCACCTGCGAGATGTATTTCAGTTCGGAGTCAATAGGAACAAACTGCGACAGGAGCACAAGCCTTCGCATCTCACGGCGGCCCAAAAACTACATCACTCTTTCCTTTGAATATCTGCTTTTTGGAACTTTTTCGGAATGTTTTGTCCACCATCCGCGGGGAGGGTCGCTCCCTTGCAGAATTCGCTAGTGCTCGTCACGATATTTTTTTTTATATATTACATTAGAAAATTCGTCTATGGGGATTGATTTTCCTATATTTCTCTTTTCGTTAAACAGATGCTTAACATATTAGTTTTCGAAAGGAAGATCCTTCGGAGGAGAGGATATTTGGCCCAGTTAAGGAAAATGGTGAATGGAGAATTAGACGCAACCAAGAACTAGCTAACTTATACAAGGAGCCGAATGTCGTAAAATATATCCGGACAGAAGGGCCAAGTTATCCCTCGTCGGATGGACGAGACCTCAATCCGGAAGAAGCTGCTGAGCATGGAGCCGGTTGAAAAAAGAAAAGTGGACAGATCGAAACTGAGATTGAAAATGAAGAGAAGAATAGTTGGGGTGGTCAGTCAAAAAAGAAGGCAAAAATAAATGATAATATTTATTTTTACATATGCCGACGTTTCGACCTGAAGTTCAGGCCTTCATCAGGGCTAAGAAAATAACCAGATAACAAGGTATGAGAAACATAAGTAGTGATGATAAAAAATAAAAAATAAATATAAAGTAAAATGAAATTGTTAGAATAATGGCAATAGTAAGAACTAAGAGATAAATAATACTATTTATCACTACTTATGTTTCTCATACCATGTTATCTGGTTATTTTCTTAGCCCTGATGAAGGCCTGAACTTCAGGTCGAAACGTCGGCATATGTAAAAATAAATATTATCATTTATTTTTGCCTTCTTTTTTGACTGACCACCCCAACTATTCTTCTCTTCATTATCCACGACAGTCTACCATTTACCAATTATGAGATTGAAAATGGTGTAAGTGCTGATGCCAGAATCCATGGAATTAGGAACTGGTGGAGGTTGCTAAGGACAGGGAACATGGAGGAAAACTCTTGAGGCAGCCAAGATCCAGTAATGCAGTTTTGAGCTCAGGATGATGATATTGATCACATTAGAATATTCGTCTGAGAGGATGATTTTTCTTATATTTCTCTGTTCTTTAAATATCTGTATTTTGTATTTTGGATACTTTTTTAGGAATTATTTTTCTACTATCCAGAGAGGAACGCGCCCCTGGCAGAAATTACTAGTGCTGGTCACGAAAATATTTTTTTTTTTTTATATATATATTACATTAGAAATTCGTCTATGAGGATGGATTTTTCCTATATTTCTCTTTTCTTTAAATAGCTGCTTTTTGGAACTTTTCCCCAACCATCTCAGGGAGTGAGGGGCGCGCCTCCGGCTGGATCCGCTTGTACTGGTCACGATAACAATTTTTTTATATCATAAAATAAGGCTCTATTTATTTTTTCACTATATTTATTTTAATTTTCTTAGCTACGTTTCGGCCGGTAAGCTATCTTCAAGCCATTTTATTCAACCATGCTTTTTGCATGTAGTCCAAAGACTAATTGAGAATTAGTTACAGCCGAAACGTAGCTATGATAATTAAATAAATATGGTGAAAAAATAAACAGAGCCTTATTTTATAATATTAAAACAAAATTTCACCTTAAACAAGCAGATATGGATTTTTTATATCACAAAAAAATTGTCTCAGAGGATGAATTTTTCCTATATATTCCTTTTCTTTAAATTGGTGTTTTTTTTTTTGTTTTTTTTTTTCCACCATCCAAAGGAAGGCGCACCCCTTGGCTTAATCCGCTAGTGCTAGTCACGATTATAATAATTTTTTTATTACATTAGGAAATTCGTAAATAATAATGAATTTTCCCTATATTTCTCTTTTATTTAAATAACATTAGGAAATTCTTACATGAGAATGAATTTTCCCTACATTACTGTTTACTTTAACTAGGTGTTTTTGTCAGTCTTTCGGAATTTTTCCATCATCCATGGGAGGACGCGCCCTCTGGCAGAATATTAGCTGGTCACGATAATATTTTTTTTTATTTTACATTAGGATATTCATCGTCTATGAGGATGAATTTCCCTATATTCCCCTTTTCGATCGATATCAGGGTCGACTATTATGTTTTGGGAGGCGCTTTTTATGAAAATGATATCGAATTTGAGATTGGGCCCCCCGGGCCTCGACTTTTTTTAACTTTTTGGATTAAATCGATATCAGGGTCAGCTCTTATGTTTTAGGGAGCGCTTTTTATGAATATGATATCGAATTTGGGATTGGGCCCCCCTGGCCTCGACTTTTTTTAACTTTTTGGATTAAATTGATATCGGGTCGACTCTTATGTTTTGGGGGGCGCTTTTTATGAAAATGATATCGAATTTGGGATTGGGCCCCCCGGGCCTCGACTTCTTTAACTTTTTGGATTAAATCGATATCAGGGTGAGCTCTTATGTTTTAGGTGGCGCTTTTTATGAAAATGATATCGGATTACGAATCATTTTCATAAATTTTGAGATAGTGCCCCTGGGGCCCGACTTTATGTAACCTTTCGGATTTAATCGATATCAATGTTGATTATGAAGTTTTAGGGGACACTTTTTATGAAAATGATGTCGGATTTTTTTAATAAAATCTGTCACCTAAAACATAACAGGCCCGGCCCTGATATCGACTAATTCCAAAAAGTGAATCCACTGGATGCAATCTCAAATCCGACAGTATTTTCATAAAAAGCGTCTTCCAAAACCTAAAAATTGACTTTAATATCGATTAAATCTGAAATGTTACAAAAAGTCGGGCCCCGGGGGCCCAATCTCGAATCCGACACCATTTTCAAAAAAAGCGACCCCTAAAACCTATTAATTGACTCTAATATCGATTAAATCTGAAATGATACAGAAAGTTAGGCCCCGGGAGCCCAATCTCAAATCCGACATCATTTTCATAAAAAGCCACCCCCAAAACCTAACAATTGACTTTAATATCGATTAAATCTGAAATGTTACAAAAAGTCGGGCCCCGGGGGCCCAATCTCAAATTCTATATCATTTTCATAAAAAAAAAACCCTAAACCTATTCATTGACTCTAATTTCGATTAGATCTGAAAAGTTAAAAAATGTCGAGGCTTGGGGGGCCCAATCTCAAATTCGTTATCATTTACATAAAAAGCGCCGCCCAAAACCTATTAATTAACTCTAATATCGATTAAATCCAAAAAGTTAAAAATACGCAGGGCCCGGGGGGCCCAATCTCAAATTCGTTATCATTTTCATAAAAAGCGCCCAAAACATAATAGTCGACCCTGACATCGATTTAATCGAAAAAGTTAAAAACAGTCGGGGGCGGGGTGGCCGAATAGGCTAAAGCGTGTGCACAGCACCGCTAGTTGCCTGGCAACCGGATAACAGAGATTTGAGATGATATAAAAAGTACGAGTTCGCGTCCCGGTGCCGGAGGGGATTTTAAATTCCCCGCCCTCACTCC